GAGAAATGCAAATCAAATCCACAATGAGATACCATCTCATGCCAGTCAGAATGGCAATTATTAAAAAGCCAAGAAACAACAGATGCTGGCAAGGCTGTGGAGAAATAGGAACGCTTTTACACTGTTGATGGGAATACAAATTAGTTCCATCACTGCGGAAGACAGTATGGCGATTCCTCAAGGATCTAGAACCAGAAATGCCATTTGAACCACCAATCCTATTACTAGGTATATCCCCAAAGGATTATAAATCATTCTACTACAAAGACACACGCACACACGTTTATTGCAGCACTATTTACAATAGCAAAGACATGGAACCAACCCAAATACCCATCAATGACAGACTGGATAAAGAAAATGTGGTGGGCTGCGACTGTGGCGGGGTGAGGCGGGTGGTAGGAAACAAACAAAAAAAAAAGAAAATGTGGTACATATACACCATGGAATACTATCCAGCAAAAAGGAATGAGATCATGTCCTTTGCAGGAACATGTATGAAGCTGGAAGCCACCATCATCAGCAAACTAACACAGGAACAGAAAACTGAACACCACACGTTCTCACTCACAAGTGGGAGCTGAACATTGAGAACTCATGGACACAGAAAGGAGAACAACACATGCCAGAGCCTATTGAGGGGTGGGGGGTGAGGGGAAGGAACTTAGAGGATGGGTCAATAGGTACACCAAACCAGATGGTACACATATACCTATGTAACAAACCTTCACGTTCTGCAGGTGTATCCCCCCCCACCTTTTTTTTTAAGGAAAAATAAGGAAAAACAAAGAAAAGATAAAGGACATTAGTGAAAGAACTATGAAATCTGAATAAAGTCTAATTTAGTTAATAGTAATTTACTAATGTTAATGTCTTTATTTTGATAAAGGTATCACAGCTACATAAGTTGTTAACATTAGGGAAAACTGGGTAAAGGGCGCTGTCTTTGCAACTTGTTGCAAGTCTAAAATTTTTCCACATAAAAAGTGTATTAAAGATAAATTAATTTCCACCCTCTTATTTCCACAACATACTGGACAAATAAGAGTCAGTCTACGATTCAGTCATCAGTGGTCAGACTTTTGACTCAAAGGGAAAGAAGTCAAATGCAGATCATTTTAACATACTCACCATCCCCTTATTCACTCAAGCCTGACCCAGCCCTAGACTCTTTCCCCCTGCAAATCTCCTACTAGTCACCTGGCTACAAAACTGCTCTTGTTCCCTTGCATTTCTACCTAATAGCATATTAAGGCTTGTCTTTGCCAGCCTTTTCTCTCACCCTAGATCTTTGTCTCCACAAAAAAATATATCCCACCTGAATAGCATGCTGTCTTGCCCTCCGACCCATCCCTCTCTATTACTGCATTGTCTAGTTGTAATGTCTTCCCAGCATTTAGCTTCATATAAAGGTATCTTGTTCACTCACTTAGTTTACTTATATCTGTCTCCCCTTATCTAGGCAGTAATCTCCTTGGAAATAAGGACCTTTCCTGTCTGTCTTACTACTGATCCCTGGGGCCTAAAACAGTACCTGGAACAGATAGATGATTTTCTTTTATTAATAAATGAATAAAGTTCTTGAGAGAAAGGTTTCTGTTATATGTTTCTGTATCCTCTCCAGCTCCTAGGACCACTGCAATAATAATGACTTGTCATGAATTGTGGGTGATGCTCTTTAAAATAATTTCTCACTCTTATGTCCATTAGTCCACTGAAGAAGACCTTTCTTAAGCACCAGACGTCTTCTTTCTACAATGTAGAAATACACAGAACCAGACTCTGGCCCATCAAAGTCAGGTCATGTGAAGGAGGCAACATCATGCTTATTTACAATAGTATAGCACTGTTTGAGTTACAATACACAACAGAGTGGTTAACATTATAGAAAATAGCATTTGAAAGTTCCTGGAAAATCACTTCCAGAGTCCTAATGCAGTGATTGGAGAGGATGAGTCAGTTATTTCTGGCTCACAATTCTATGACGTTGATGAAATAAACTGATTTCTTTTCCCAGTGAAGTGGGACATTTTTTTACTTGAAAGACAAGAATCTACACAAATCTGCTTTTTATTTTATAAACACTTGTCTCAGGTTTAAGGATCTCAAGTGAAAATTGAAAAAAAAAAAAAAGCATGAATAAGACATGTACTATGTTAAATTTAATTATCTTTGGTCAGGAGGTAAAAGACAACAACTCCCTTTCTGTTTCTGCCTGCTGCTAGCTCGGCGCCTCTGCACAATGAGTACTGAATGACAGACTCCATCTTCAGACCCCTTCCCAGGCTAGGATGCTGCTCCTGTCATGTGCTTCCTTTTCATAGCATCCAACATAATCTACCATAATTGTTTAATTTTCTGTCTTCCCCATGTAAGCTCTGTAAGCTCCACAAAGGTGAGCCAGGTATATCTTGTCCACCATTTTATACCCAGCATGTAGGACATGCCTACCACCCACTCTTAGCACAAAAATGCTAAAAAATAATTGCATAATGACAGTATTACGTGATCGCTTTATGGCAAATGACCATATTCTGAGGAAAGAGAGACCTCTGTGACAAAGAGCCCAAACAAGAAGTTTCAAAGACTGAAACATATTCTGAATAGTACCAGGATAGGTTCCAGCAGTGATGAACAATAGGATTTTCAGAAGCACATGATTGTTACCTCACCCTCACAGATAATTTCTGAGTAACCAGCCCAATGACATTCTTTTCTTTGCTAGAATAACTGCTGATGTGGCCTTGGAAATTCACTCTGTTAAAAATGACTCTCAACCCCAATTCTGAGAGTTGATGTGAAGTTATAATTTCTCGTTCTTCTTCTAAAAATCCAGAACTGGCATCAGTAGCTTTATCTACATTTCTTTTTTTTTTTTTTTTTTTTTTTGAGAAGGAGTTTCGCTCTTGTTACCTACGCTGGAGTGCAAATGGCGCGATCTCGGCTCACCGCAACCTCCGCCTCCTGGGTTCAGGCAATTCTCCTGCCTCAGCCTCCTGAGTAGCTGGGATTACAGGCACGTGCCACCATGCCCAGCTAATTTTTTGTATTTTTAGTAGAGACGGGGTTTCACCATGTTGACCAGGATGGTCTCGATCTCTCGACCTCGTGATCCACCCGTCTCGGCCTCCCAAAGTGCTGGGATTACAGGCTTGAGCCGCCGCGCCCGGCCGCTTTATCTACATTTCTTAAAAGGTTATCAATCCTTAACATTAAGCATTTCCATGCACCTCAAAAGATTGGCTTCTCTGATCTAAATGTCTTAAACACCTCGTAAATGTGGGGTTTTTTGGTTTTGAGGAAATGACTGCCAGTCCTCACTATGAGCTAGAAAAAGTCACACTCTAGAAAAAAGGGATTACCTTTCCATTACTACTACCAAAACATTTCAAACCCACAAATTTAAGTTACAACATAAAGGAAATAATAAATTTTAAGCACTTTCTATATAGACATGTCAGTTACATCTATTTCAAAGTCATAGACCCAATACTCATATATATAATCATGTAAATATATACATGTATGTACACAGATACAGAAATAGATATATATGTGTGTATATATAAACTGATATATATATATATATATATATTTAAACTGGCATATATATTTACACTGAGATAAATGTTTGCATGTGTATGTGTGTGTCTGCTTAAATTTCTGACTCATCCTTCAGCCTGCCTGATCATTAGCAACTTAATCTTAGCACATTATTATTTGTCTTGGTTTTCTAGTCTAATCCAATGTGATTTGCAAGTCAATTCTTTCACATTCTGTATAAACTCGCTCTCAAGTTCTCTCCCTCTCTATTCCTCCTTATGATCATGTCGAATCTCCAGAGTCTCATGTTCTGCCACTCCAAGTAAACAAATTAATCCAGGTTTCATTTACTCTTCCAGTTGTTCAGCTCAAACTGATGATTGTTAAGGAGAATTTGAGCGCTTTGGGCCAATTTTTAAAGACAAATATGAATTTTTATGGCAATCTCCAAGTATTTTAATGGTGATAACAATTTCTTAAAAAACTAAATACTGTATGCATCCCTGTCTTCCTCCCCATCTCAAAAAAGATGACTATTGGCTAGCCAGATTGCAATTCCTGTCCTAGACTCCTGAAGGGTCCACGGGTATACTTAGGGAATATATTAACCTCTTTTTCAAACTGCAGTCAACCTATTATCAATGTAGTAAAGTTAATGTAAATTCATAGCAATCAGTATTTTTAGTAAGCTAAAAAGAACAAGTTAGGATGGAATGAATGGAATTGAAGGAAAATTGAATGAAAAACAAGAATATTATTTTGGATAATGTTATACTTATGGGTGTATGTGTACCAAGTGACACAGAAAGTGTATTTCAGAGGGGAGTGGCCAAACAAGTTTGGAAAAGCATACATGTAATTTAGTTTTATTCAGTTTCCCAAATACCATTGTCCCTTGGTATCCACACACGATTGAGTCCAGGACCCTCTGTGAGCACCAATATCTTAGGATGCTCAAAACCCTTATATACAATAGTGTAATATTTGCATTTATCTTATACATCACCTACGGTATACTTTAAATCATCTCCAGGTGGCTTATAATACCTTAGACAACCTAAACGCTATGAAAGTGGTTATCACACTGCATTATTTTTAAGTTTTTAAAAATGTTTTCAATGGAGAGTTGTTTGAATCCACAGATAGGGAACCCAGGTACAGGGAAGGCCAGCCCTAGTTCTGCACCCAAAGAGGACAGGAACACAGAAATGGGGACTACCTGAGGCCTCCTTCCCCTTCACTTTCTTTCTTTCGTCTTCCTGCAGGGGAAGCTCAAACTAGCTCCAGCGGAGCGTGAAGCCAGTCCAGGGCCCGGCCTCCACTTCTCCAGAGGGCGCCGCAAAGATTTTGGTCGCCAAAGGCACCACGGTCCCCGCGTCAGGAAGCATCTCCGCTCTGAAGCATTTTCGTTGCGCCGGGTGCCAGCGTTCCCGTGACGCATTTCCGGTTGGCCGAGCTACGCACGGGCGGCCGGAAGGGAAGGAACGTCCGCCCGGAGTATTGAGCCGTCGCGCTGAGTGGCGCGGTGCTCTACGCGCTTCTTGGACAGCATGTCTCACCTGCCGATGAAGCTCCTGCGCAGGAAGATCGAGAAGCGGAACCTCAAATTGCGGCAGCGGAACCTGAAGTTGCAGCAGCGGAACCTGAAGTTGCAGGGTGAGATTCGCAGACTGGCGGTGGCTCAGGAGTCCCACGCGGGAGCCCTGGCGCGTTCGGGCGACCGGGGGCCCGGCTGCTCTGTATGGCGGAGGCAGCTTCCTCTGCAGCGTGTGTGACTGGGCGGAGGGAAGGAGCAGGCTTCACTCGGGACCCGCGCCGCTGCCCACTCGTTGCGTGGCTCCAGCGCTGCTCCTGCCCTTTCTCAGCAGTTTGCTAAGCGTTAGAGCAGGAGGCCTCCCGGTTCCCTTCCAGGCTGCAACGAACCCTGCCTTTTGCATTTTCTTTTTTTTTTTTTTTTTTTTGAGACAGAGTTTCGCTCTTGTTACCCAGGCTGGAGTGCAATGGCGCGATCTCGGCTCACCGCAACCTCCGCCTCCTGGGTTCAGGCAATTCTCCTGCCTCGTCCTCCTGAGTAGCTGGGATTACAGGCACGAGCCACCATGCCCAGCTAATTTTTTGTATTTTTAGTAGAGACGGGGTTTCACCATGTTGACCAGGATGGTCTCGATCTCTTGACCTTGTGATCCACCCGCCTCGGCCTCCCAAAGTGCTGGGATTACAGGCCTGAGCCACCGCGCCCGGCCCTGCATTTTCACCTTACCTTTTGATTCCCTCACCCCCTGCAAGTCGCACCTCATCCCATCCCTCATTTCCGATTACGCTCCGTGGAACGTTCTCATTTCCACCCACTTTTCACATCTGTTTAATTCCCGTATTTCTTTCCCCAAAAGCCCGTCTCGCTGTTTCCACAGAGCTTCTTTGATACTATCGCCTTCCTCTACCCACCTCCACATGCTCTCCTAGCACTTCCTCCCAAGAGCTTCTACGTATTTGTCTCCTGCACAGTGACTTAAAAGGATTTTACCTGTATGTCACCTTTCTTACCTACCTCATCTCCAGTCCCAGTTTCCTGATAGTGGGACCACAAATCTTGAAGTAATTGTGTTAATCTATTACCTGGGTTAAGATATAAACTCCCCGAGGGAAAGGTTGGAGGCACAGTGCCTTGCCCCACTTGGTTTTCGACAGACATTAATGGGGGGGGGGGGGAATTCTGCAGGAGGCAATAGGTTTATGAATTTTAGGAATATGTTTTTGAAGTTCTCTAATATTTCTGATTCCTACAGAATAATAATACAGCATTACTAACTACTTTTCAGTGTATATGTAAGTAAATTTGAACAAAAGGTGGTGTTACGTTTTATCTTTTTCAGTATACAAACGGGGAACCTTTGGTAAGGACATTCTCAGGTACAGTCAAGCATCGCATAACAGGAGAGAGGATACATTGTGAGAAATGCATCATTAGGGGCTTTTGTCGTTTTACGAACTTTCATAGAGTCTAGTTACACAAACCTAAATCTACTATACACCCAGGCTACATAGTACAGCCTGTTGCTCCTAAGCTGTCATCCTGTACAGCATGTTACTGTACTATACTGAGAGAATTGTAACAACAGTGATAAATATTTTTTATAGCTAAATATATCTAAACATAGAAAAGGTACAGTAAAACTATGATGAGAGATTTTTAAAATGGTACACCTTTTTTGTGGTGAGTGAATGTGAAGGCCTAGGACATTACTGTGCAGTATTATAGACTTTATAAACACTGTACACTTGGGCTACACTTTATTTTTTAAATACTTAACCTTATACTGTAACTTTTACTTTATAAACTTGTTAAATTTTAACTTTTTTTTTTTTTTTTTTTTTTTTTTTGAGACGGAGTTTCGCTCTTGTTACCCAGGCTGGAGTGCAATGGCGCAATCTCGGCTCACCGCAACCTCTGCCTCCTGGGCTCAGGCAATTCTCCTGCCTCAGCCTCCTGAGTAGCTGGGATTACAGGCACGTGCCACCATGCCCAGCTAGTTTTTTTGTATTTTTAGTAGAGACGGGGTTTCACCATGTTGACCAGGATGGTCTCGATCTCTCGACCTCATGATCCACCCGCCTCGGCCTCCCAAAGTGCTGGGATTACAGGCTTGAGCCACCGCGCCCGGCCAAATTTTAACTTTTTGACTCTAACACTTAGCTTACAACACAAGCACATTGTACAGCTGTACACAAATAGTTTGTGTCCTTATTCTGTGTGATTTTTTTTCTGTTAATTTTTTTTTTCTTTTCAAGCTTTTTGTTGAAAATGTAAAGACACAGACACATTTGGTATCACTGTCTTCCACCTCCACATCTTGTTCCACTGGAAGATTTTTAGGGCAACAACAGACATGGAGCTGACATCTGTGATAACAGTACCTTCTAAAATACCTCTCTCCCTGAGGCTCTTTTTTTTTTTTTTTTTTTTTTGAGACGGAGTTTTGCTCTTATTACCCAGGCTGGAGTGCAATGGCGCGATCTCGGCTCACTGCAACCTCCGCCTCCTGGGGTCAGGCAATTCTCCTGCCTCAGCCTCCTGAGTAGCTGGGATTATAGGCACGCACCACCATGCCCAGCTAATTTTTTGTATTTTTAGTAGAGACGGGGTTTCACCATGTTGACCAGGTTGGTCTCGATCTCTTGACCTCGTGATCCACCCGCCTCGGCCTCCCAAAGTGCTGGGACTACAGGCTTGAGCCACCGTGCCCGGCCCCCTGAGGCTCTTTTACAGTTGACTCTTATTTTTTTTTTTTAATAAGTAGAAGGAATACACTCTTAATGATCAAAAGTGTAAATACATAAACCAGTAACATAGGTGTTTGGTATCACATGTATTGTACATAAATTATGTGTGCTTTATACAATGGCATCACAGTAGGTTTCTTTACACTAACATCACCTAATGTTGCACTACGACATTGCAACAACCAATGGCAGTAGGTGATAGGAATTTTTAAGCTCCATTATAATCTTACGGAACCTCTATATATGTTGTCCTTAATTCACAGAAATATCATTGTGTATGCATTACTGTATTTATATGTAATAAATGTTGGGGCAAATAAGTGGTCTTACCAACTGAATTTTCAACCCACTGCAGCCTAGGAGAGTTGGGGCTGAATATTTTGAAGTTGCGTGAGAAATAGTATTTGTGTGAATGAGTTGTAAGTGTCTTTTTCAATATATCAGTTAATGATATGTTTATCAGATACTCAGGTTTATTTTGTAACTGCTGTTTTCTGATCTCATCTGTTTAAATATTTGACCTCATTGAAGTTTTTCTGTCCTAGACTCCTTAAAGTCAGAGGTATGGTCTTTTGAAGTTAAGAAATCAATATAGGTTTCCTTTTTCCAGTATTTTTTCTTTAAGATAATCTACTTTTCCTCTATGGGAACACCGTAAAATTGTAAGTTGTTTTAATTACATGAAGAAGAAGAAAAGCTAAATAATAAGTGTCTGGAAGCCATGGAAGTTCTCGTTTGGCATTTCAGTGTTTCTAAGTAAACTTCTTTGTCACAGTGTATGTTCTGTTTATTTAAACAGGGGCCTCAAATCTGACCCTGTCAGAAACTGAAAATGGAGATGTGTCTGAAGAAACAATGGGAGGTAGAAAGGTTAAAAAATCAAAACATTCTATGAATGTGGGCTTATCAGAAGCTCAAAATGGAGATGTGTCTCAAGAAGCAGTGGAAAATACAAAAGTTAAAAAATCTCCCCAGAAATCTATCGAATTAACCAATGGAGAAGCAGCAATGCAGTCTCCCAATTCAGAATCAAAAAAGAAAAAGAAGAAGAAGAAGAGAAAAATGGTGAATGATGCTGGGCCTGGTGGGTATTTGTTGTCTTCGAACTTCAGCCATTTAGTTTTTCACGGACAGTTATCGTTCCTCCTTCTATTACTTTTGTGTGCACATGACATATGAGAATTCTCTGTACTCACTAGAATATTAGAGATTAGCCTGGTAGCTGATGGGAACATTTCATTGACAGAAGCAGGGAGTTCATTTCAACTCTTCTCAAAATTTTGATGAATATATTTTTAGTTTCACTAACCTTGAAGAAAACCTCACTCTCAGAAAAGACCCTCCTTAGAGTTCTAGAAATTTTCTCTCTTTTTTTGGCAATCATCTGGGCTTTTAATGATAAACGGAAATACTGTGGCATAGTATTATAGTTCTACCTGTTTACAAATAGAGTTGCAGAATTACTAATTTAAAGAAATCTAGGCTAGTAGTAGGATCTGTCTTCCCAGACCTTTCTGTATTAAGGGGCTTTGCAGTAATGATTTTTTTAAGTTACCTTTTATTTTTGGCTTGATTCCTCCCATTTTCCTACCATAAATTTCTCCCTTTGAAAGGAGTCTTAGTTACAAAGTATATAAAGTAGGAAACTTCTGAATAAATAGAACATTAATATCTAAGTGCTAAGAATGGCAAGAGAAAAAGGAAGGACTATTTTTTGAAGGTGATAGAATTGCGGTAAGCTCACACGAAAGAATGGACATTTTAATTGAGATTTGTACAAGCAGAGATTTCAAGGTAGGATAGGATAAGGGTCAGCAAACTATCCCTCCTACCTATTTTTGTAAATCAAGTTTTACTGGGTCATAGTAGTGCCCATTTGGTTGTCTTTATGACAACAGAGATCATATGACCTGCAAAGCCTAAAATAGTTACTATCTGGCCCTTTATAGAAAGTTTGCCAACACCTGAGTTAGAACATTTTATTCATGTATCTTACCTGATATACGGGTTTTATTTTAAAAGGAGCTGTGAACACGCATGACTGTCTTCGTGATGACTGCAAACGAGAGTTATTGTAATCCTGTTCTAAAATTACCGCCTTCACAGTTCTTGTTTTGAGTATGCCTAAGGAAGTGGTATTATTTCTGCTCTCAAGCACTGAGTCACAACCCTGGGAGTTTTAACCTATGGGTAATATTTTTTTTAATGAGATGGGGTCTCACTGTGTTGTCCAAGCTGGTCTCACTCCTGGGGTCAAGTGATCCTCCCACCTCGACTTCCCAAAATGCTGGGATTACAGGCATAAGCCACCACACCCAGCCATCTATGGGTAAATTTTAAGAACTGTTCCCAGGAAACAAGTCATGGAAACCAGCTGAAGATACCTATGGCTTTTGAACTTGTGGTTCCTACAGAGTTGACTGTTTCCTGGAAGGGTGGCCATAAGGTACAAGGAAGAGACCAGTCCTGAGCTACAGAGAGTCCTGGGTTCTGGTCTAGGTCAGTTCTTTTCCAACATCACTAATTGCCATGTATTTTTATATAAGCCCAGCATGTAGTTAATCCATTTGACCCAGAGTTGAACATTCAAAAGAGAAGTGAGGTAGGACTGAAAAGGCAGTTGGGGATACGTGAAAGTTATGAATGTAGAAATGAGAAGCTAGGAAGCCCTGCCTTTCCGCTCACCCTCATCACTGTTAGCCAAGGAACAGTCCAGTGTATGTCAGCCAGGCAAGTGGATTGCTGCCCTTACCTTACAGTCTATCTCTAGTAACACGAAGAGCCTTTGATTAATAGCGATTGGCATGGGAGGAAAAAATGAGTGCTTATAATGAGTTTTTAAGGATTATGTTAATCAAATGTGCTTTTTTTTCCCCTCTGGAATGTGTGAGACTTATAATTGGTATCTTTGTACTGTTTAGTTGAACTTTTTTTTTTTTTTGAGACAGAGTTTCACTTGTTACCCAGGCTGGAGTGCAATGGCGCGATCTCAGCTCACTGCAACCTCCACCTCCTGGTTCAGGCAATTCTCCTGCCTCAGCCTCCTGAGTAGCTGGGATTACAGGCACGCGCCACCATGCCCAGCTAATTTTTTGTATTTTTAGTAGAGACGAGGTTTCACCATGTTGACCAGGATGGTCTCGATCTCTTGACCTTGTGATCCACCCGCCTCGGCCTCCCAAAGTGCTGGGATTACAGGCTTGAGCCACCGCGCCCGGCTTAGTTGAACTGTTTAAGGTTTTAAATGAGACGGTATAATACATTAAGAAGCCTAAAAAGTTTTGTCACCAAGTCTTTCTGTACCTTGGATTACCATTTTTCATGAAATGGAATTATTAACAAATTAATACAGAATAGAGCTTTTGAAAATATACCTCTTTACATCACAGATCTTCTGTTTTGTTGATCTCATTTGGAATTTTTTTTAAGAAAAAAATTTTGCGGTTTTGTCTTTTAAAACCAAAGATAGAAAAAAAGCAAAAACTGAAAACAAAGGAGAATCTGAAGAAGAAAGTGCCGAGAGTCCTAAAGAAACAGAAAATAATGTGGAGAAGCCAGATAATGATGAAGATGACAGTGAGGTGCCCAGCCTGCCCCTGGGACTGACAGGTAAATGTCCAGGAAGTTTTCTAGACATAGCTTCTTTAAAATATGCCTCTCAGAGGGTTATAGGTTGAAGTTCAGTTGTAACTTTCCGTATACCTGGAAAAAGTAACTGTCAAGAAGAAGCTCTTTTTATCTTTCTGCTGCTTTTTCTCTTCATCTTCTATTGTGTGGTGTTTCAGTTCTTTTAGTTCCCTTTTTTTTCTTTTGTCCATTTCTGACACTAAATATTTTATATGCACACAAGCAGCTTCTAGGATTCTTTGGTTTGTCTTTTCTAAGGCTCATTCTATGTTGTAATAGGAAAATCATTGGCCCTGTACCAGCTTAACCTCCGTTGGCCATTGTTCCTTTGTAAAGTCGAGTTTACTAAAATTCACTCCCTCTAACCAGGTATGTCTAGGAGTTGCTTCAGTTGCTTGTTTGGTTGGGGTGGTTGGTTTGTTAAAATGTTGAGGGCTCAATCCCAGATCTGCTTAATCCAAATTGCAAACATTTTGGCAGTAGCTCTTGAGCGGGGAAATTTGTCCCCGAAGACAAGTAACTCATCCTGGTTTGCCCAGAATTTTTCCAGTTTTAGCACTGAAAGTCCTGACTCCCAGGAACCTTCCCTGTCCCTAGCCTACTGAGAAGATTGGTCATCCTAAGCCTAGGAGACATTTTTGGTTCTCGGAACTAGGGGCAGTCTGCTGGCATCTGGTGAGTGGAGGTCAGAGACCCTGCATGATAGCTTATAATGCATAGGATAGCATCCACAACAAAGAATTTATTCAGCTCAAATGTCAGCAATGCCAAGATCAAGAGTCATTGGTTTACACCCTGGGTATGTGGAGTGTGGGGAACCCAGGTGATTTTGATGCCTTCTGCTAAAGAACCACTATACTACTTGATACATAGGTTCAGCCTAACATTCTGTGGTTGTATCTGACTCTTCTGTGTCTTGTCAGAGTGAGATTAACAAGTTTTTATTTTATTGACTTTACATTCAGTTTTTGTTAGTGCTCAGCGTTTTCACTTTTTATATCAGATTTCTTTTTTTTTTTTTTTTTTTTTTTTTTGAGACAGAGTTTCGCTCCTGTTACCCAGGCTGGAGTGCAATGGCGCGATCTCGGCTCACCGCAACCTCCACCTCCTGGGCTCAGGCAATTCTCCTGCCTCAGCCTCCTGAGTAGCTGGGATTACAGGCACGCGTCACCATGCCCAGCTCATTTTTTATATTTTTAGTAGAGACGGGGTTTCACCGTGTTGACCAGGATGGTCTCAATCCCTTGACCTCGTGATCCACCCGCCTCGGCCTCCCAAAGTGCTCGGATTACAGGCTTGAGCCACCGCGCCCGGCATCAAATTTCTTAAACATTTAATTTACCTCTGGACTCTCATTATTTTCCTTGTCTTGGTATTTTTATTTTATATACATTCCTTGGTTATACCTCCTCTCCCCCCTTCGTTTTGTTATAATCTGGGCTCTGGACTATAACTCACACAGCCATTAACAATGGAGAAACTTGGAAGGTATATGGTCTTTTTCTTGATATTGTCACATGTGAATAATTAAGGTTTAGCCTTTTCTTAGTTTAGGAAGCTTTTCTAAGCAAAAAAGATTGAGGCAACTGTAGCAGTACTTTTTAAAAATATTTATGTTTTTAAAAAAGATAAATTTGCTAATGATAAATTGTCTTCTGTTTAGGAGCTTTTGAGGATACTTCATTTGCTTCTCTATGTAATCTTGTCAATGAAAACACTCTGAAGGCAATAAAAGAAATGGGTTTTACAAACATGACTGAAATTCAGCATAAAAGTATCAGACCACTTCTGGAAGGCAGGTATGATTAACACTGAAGCTTAGATATTGGCATCTGTTTTTAGAACTAGAGGATTGTAAAGAACATACCAGTGTATTCTGTTGATTTTGTACTATATGTTGGGTCATGTATCCATCATGCATTAAAGGCTTTTAGTTAATTGCTGATGTTTGAAGGAAAATGTTTGAAAGGTGTTCATTTGTGTTGTAGCACAGTTCTGACTTAAAATTTCCATATATAACCCAGGTGACCAATTTTAGCAATGTAGATGTCTTGTTCATGTTCTAGCCTTAGTGCCGAAAGTATGTGTATGTAGTACATCATAAACAAGTAGATTAAATGTCTTCTTCCTTTCTCTTTTTAATATTTAGGGATCTTCTAGCAGCTGCAAAAACAGGCAGTGGTAAAACCCTGGCTTTTCTCATCCCTGCAGTTGAACTCATTGTTAAGTTAAAGTTCATGCCCAGGAATGGTAAGCTTTTAATATGCTTATATCTGCCATTATTTCACTAGCTAGAAGTTTATTGTAGCTATTATGGATTCATGGTGACAACCACAGTTAGACTTTTACCATATGTCATTTTTAGGAACAGGAGTCCTTATTCTCTCACCTACTAGAGAACTAGCCATGCAAACTTTTGGTGTTCTTAAGGAGCTAATGACTCACCACGTGCATACTTATGGGTTGATAATGGGTGGCAGTAACAGATCTGCTGAAGCACAGAAACTTGCTAATGGGATCAACATCATTGTGGCCACACCAGGCCGTCTGCTGGACCATATGCAGGTAAGAGATACAGTGCTTGTCCCATTGCCTTCTATGAAACCTAAACTGACAACTAATTGTTGTTCTTTGTCCTTGGTTTTGTTAGAATACCCCAGGGTTTATGTATAAGAACCTGCAGTGTCTGGTTATTGATGAAGCTGATCGTATCTTGGATGTTGGGTTTGAAGAGGAATTAAAGCAAATTATTAAACTCTTGCCAAGTAAGTAGGTCGCATCTGCATTTGGTTTGCAAAGTGTCTGTTGGAGGTAGATAAAAATTCTTCTATAGAAAAACTGCATTAGCCGGGCGCGGTGGCTCAAGCCTGTAATCCCAGCACTTTGGGAGGCCGAGGTGGGTGGATCACAAGGTCAAGAGATCGAGACCATCCTGGTAAACATTGTGAAACCTCGTCTCTACGAAAAATACGAAAAATTAGCTGGGCATGGTGGCGTGTGCCTGTAATCCCAGCTACTCAGGAGGCTGAGACAGGAGAATTGCCTGAACCCAGGAGGCGGAGGTTGCGGTGAGCCGAGATCGCGCCATTGCACTCCAGCCTGGGTAACAAGAGTGAAACTCCGTCTCAAAAAAAAAAAAAAAGAAAAACTGCATTAATGCCAGAACTTTACCATAGCCAAGTGAGGTAGTTGTGCCAATCAACCTGAAAAGTAGTTTGGAATACAAGCATCAAACTTATTATCAACCTAATATAGTAGTTTTGCTGTTTTAGAAGTTATAATGAAGGTTAAACAGACTTAACTTAGGTCCTGTCCTCCACCTCTTGACTATTCTTACCTCATCTAACATCCTTCAAGTAGCCGTAGATGTGTTGCCTTACTTGTACATACCTTGGTTATGGTACTTGCAGCATTATGAACTGGACATAACTGTGGTCCCATTTATTATATAATTTATTTTTCAAAGCTTTATCAAAGTATAATTGACATATGTACACATTTATAAGTTACAATTTGATACATTCTTTGAAAAGTTTACCACTGTAAAACCATCACTGCAATCAAGAAAATGAACATGTCCATCACACTCAAAGGTTTCCTCCTGCCCCTTTTCAGTTTCTCTCTCCCACCCTCCTTATACACATACTTCTTCCCTGAGTGAGTATTGATCTCCTTTTGGTCACTAGATTAGGTTGCATTTTCTGGAAATTTGTATCAGTGTAGTTTTGATGGTTTTGGTCTGGTTTCTTTTGCTCGGTAAATTCTTTTGATTTTCGTCCTTGCTGTCATGTGTATCAGTAGTTCTTTTTATTCCTCAGTAGCATTCCACTATATGAATATGCCAGTTTGTCTGTTTAGCTGCTGATGGATGTTTCTGCTCTTTACAGTTCAGTGCTATTAGAAATAAAGTTGCTGTGAACAGTCATCTACAATTCGTTGTAGAGACATATATCTCCTTTTCTCTTAAGTTAAACCTAGGAGTGGCCTAGCTGGTGTGTGTTTTGTGAATGTTTAACTTTTTAAAAAACTGCCAGATGTTTCCTTAAACGGCTATACTATTTAACATTCCTGTGAGCAGTGTATGAAAATTCCAGTTCCTCCTGGTAAGACTTGACCATCAGGAAATGTTAGCCCCAAGTTTGTTCTCTATTAAGGTTGTGCTATTTTTGTCCTTTGCATTTCTATATAAATTTTAGAATTGATTTGTCAGTTTCCCCCCTTTCCCTCCAAAAAAGTCTTAAATCTTGTTTGGGATTTTCATCGAATAGAGATTATTGGAGGAAGACAATATTGATTCATGTAACCCACCCATAATAAGGTATATCTCTATGTATTAGGTATTTTATTTCTCTAATATTTGGAGGGTTTCAGGATACAGATTTTTTCACATCTTTTGTCATATTTATCCCTGAGTATTTCATTAAAATTTCAAATTCCAGTGGCTCATTGCATATATATGTATGTGTGTGTGTGTGTGTGTGTGTGTGTGTGTGTGTGTATGTGTGTGTGTGTATATATACACACACACACATACATATATACACAGTTGAGTTTTATATTGTTCTTATATCTAGCAAGACAGTTAATTCTGTACTGAATGATTATTCAGTATGACTTTCCAGTTGCCTGTATCCTTTTGGATTTTCTGCATAGGCAATCATGTACAGATAAAGACAGTTTCACCTCTTTATTTAATTTTTTTTTCTTGCCTGATTGCCCTGGCCAAACCTCTAGTATGATACTAAATAGAAGTGGTGAGAACAGACATCCTTGTCTTGGTTCTGATCTTAGGGAAAAGGATTCAATCTTTTACCATTAACTACATAGGAAGTTTGCTGCAGGTTTAATACAGATGCCTTTTATCAGATTGAGGAAGATCCCTTTTGTTCCTGGTTTGCTGAGGGTTTTTAATCAGAAATAAATGGTCAGTTTTTTTTATTCTGTCTGTTAAAATAATCATGTTTCTTCTTTTGTTAACATAGTAAATTGTATTGGTTGATTTTTCAAATGTTGAACCAACCTGCATTTCTTTGTTATGATCCATTATCCTTTTTATATATTGCTGAATTCACTTTACTAAAATTTCTGTTTTGAATTTTGCATATGTGCTCATGATTATATTGATCCATAGTTTTCTTTTCTTGTAATGTCATTGTCAGGTTTTTGTATAGTGTAATGACTGACTTCAAAGAATGAGTTGACATATAAACCCCCTCTTTAATTTATTGGAGAGTTTATGAATAATTGATGTTTCTTCCTTAAATGTTTAATAGAATTCACCAATGGAATCCATTTGGGCCTGGAATTTTTTTACATGAAGGTTTTAACTAAAATTTCTTTAAAAGACACAAGGCTTTTTAAAGTTTCCTATTTTCTTCAGTTGTTTGTCTTTGAAGGAGTTTGTCCATTTTATCTACATTCTCAGATTTATAGACGAGTGTTTCATGATATACCTTTTTTACCTTTTATAATATCAGTAGAATGTCTTTTATTAGATCTGTAGAATCTCTTTTATAGTATCTGTAGAATCTCTTATCTGTAGAATCTCTTATATCTATAGAATCTCATAATATCTGTAGAATCTCTTATAATAGCTGTAGAATCTTTATATCTGTAGAATCTCTTATAAAAGCTGTAGAATCTTTTATATTTGTAGAATCTTTTATAATATCTGTAGAATCTCTTTTATAATATCTGTAGAATCTGTAGAGACATCATACCTCCCGTTTCTGATATCTCTACCCAGAATATTTGTGGTTGTGAGGCAATGGTAAAGAGTCCCAAATTGATCGGGGTTATTTTTATATATATCTGTTTCAGCACGTAGACAGACTATGCTCTTTTCTGCCACCCAAACTCGAAAAGTTGAAGACCTGGCAAGGATTTCTCTGAAAAAGGAGCCATTGTATGTTGGTGTTGATGATGATAAAGCTAATGCAACAGTGGATGGTCTTGAACAGGTACTTTTTATCAATAACTGAAAACTTTAGGGAACTTACTTGGTGTTTTTATGTAACTGTTGAAAGGATCGTTCAGAAAGCAAATGGGTTAATGAACTTTTAAAATGCTGGAGGTGAGGCATAACTGTTTACACACTATGTTTATCAGTGCTGTTGATCAAGTTACATAAGTTAGGAAATGGAAAATGTCCACTTGGGGCCGGGCGCGGTGGCTCAAGCCTGTAATCCCAGCACTTTGGGAGGCCGAGGCGGATGGATCACGAGGTCAAGAGATCAAGACCATCGTGGTCAACATGGTGAAACCCCGTCTCTACTAAAAATACAAAAAATTAGCTGGGCATGGTGGCGCATGCCCATAATCCCAGCTACTCAGGAGGCTGAGGCAGGAGAATTGCCTGAACCCAGGAGGCGGAGGTTGCGGTGAGCCGAGATCGTGCCATTGCACTCCAGCCTGGATAACAAGAGTGAAACTCTGCCTCAAAAAAAAAAAAAGAAAGAAAGAAAGAAAAAAATAAAATGTCCACTTGGTTCATTTGTATCTGTCTATTTGAACCATTTCTAGGGATACGTTGTTTGTCCTTCTGAAAAGAGATTCCTTCTGCTTTTTACATTCCTTAAGAAGAACCGAAAGAAGAAACTTATGGTCTTCTTTTCATCTTGTATGTCCGTGAAATACCACTATGAGTTGCTGAATTACATTGATTTGCCCGTCTTGGCCATTCATGTAAGTGATTATAATGAGCTCATTGAAAACAGGGTGTGCTTATTAAATCCTAGAGGTTGCAGGATTGGAGTTATTGCCCACTCCTCCAAATATTGTTCTGAGTAGTTAGATCACCACTAGGTGATAGACCCTGTATGTGGGGAGCACTGCTGGGTATGGAGGTTTGTGAGAACTTCCAAGGAGTACAAGACACCATCCTCCTTGAAGGGCTTGCAGAACAGTCGGAAAATAGAACATAGGCCAAGGGATGAGCTCAAAACAGAGTAACAGTTCCACAATTTGGGGGTTCTACTGCTAGACTTCCTAGAGACAACCTTAACATTCCAGCTCTTACGGATGTTTTTATTTAATTCTAGGGAAAGCAAAAGCAAAATAAGCGTACAACCACATTCTTCCAGTTCTGCAATGCAGATTCAGGAACACTATTGTGTACAGATGTGGCAGCAAGAGGACTGGACATTCCTGAAGTCGACTGGATTGTTCAGTATGACCCCCCCGATGACCCTAAGGTAACTGGCGTACTTGGGGGGTATATTCAGAATGATTCTGCATCAAGGAGTTCATTTATTCTCCTAGTTGCCTGACAGAAACTGCATTCCACATTCAAAAGGTTTATCCCTACTATACAGTGACTGCAGTATTCCTCTGGTGTTGATAAGTATTTAAGGCTTTTCAGGGCTCAAAGGGGCTGTGCAAGAGGATTTAGAAGTATCAGTGGAACTTAAGTTATGAAAATTAGATCCTTGGAAATGATCTCTTAAGAACAGCAGATGCCTGAAGGAAATAAAATTGCTTAAGGAGGTAGATAAGCTTCTGGATATGTGGTAGAATAAGCTTCATTGAGAAGTATTTTTAACAAACAATGGATTAAAGCCATTTTGATGACGAAGCATGCATAATACTTATTTTATTAGATCACTGTTTTTTTGTTTTTTTGAGACGGAATTTCGCTCTTGTTACCCAGGCTGGAGTGCAATGGCGTGATCCCGGCTCACCACAGCCTCCGCCTTCTGGGTTCAGGCAATTCTCTTGCCTCAGCCTCCTGAGTAGCTGGGATTACAGGCACGCGCCACCATGCCCAGCTAACTTTTTGTATTTTTAGTAGAGACGGGGTTTCACCTTGTTGACCAGGATGGTCTCGATCTCTTGACCTCGTGATCCACCCGCCCTGGCCTCCCAAAGTGCTGGTATTACAAGCTTGAGCCACCGCGCCAGGCCCTAGATTACTGTTAATACAGACATCATGTCCAGCCTTTTTGGCCTCAGTCATTGACCTGTCACCCTTTGGGGGTGATGTGCGCCAGAGGGATTGCTGCCTGGCTTTGTAGGGGTGCGGCCCAGTCCCATGGGAGTGCACCATCCCAGTGAAGACATGCACATACTCAGGTCGCAGATACGCAAATGGGCTCATGTGGAAGTCATTGTGTTAACTCAGGTTTTCTTTCTCCACCAAAGGAATATATTCATCGTGTGGGTAGAACAGCCAGAGGCCTCAATGGGAGAGGGCATGCCTTGCTCATTTTGCGCCCAGAAGAATTGGGTTTTCTTCGCTATTTGAAACAATCCAAGGTAAACGATCTTTACTTGGAGAAAGATTTCTCTTGGTGTAGGGATTGTTAGCAAGCACCATTTCTACATGTGTCAGAGGAGTCTTGAGTCTGGGCAGTGCTATTACAACCATTCTGATGGCAATAAAGCAAGTAAGATTTTACGTACTTCTAGATCAGGAAGTAAAAACAGAAGGAATTGCCCATGTGGCTCAGCTTTTTAGCTCTGTTACTCACCAACGCCTCTATGTCCCAGCCTCTCCTCTCCCAATCCCTCCAGGCCTCTTTGAAACCTTTTCCACTCTTTTGAAGCTCCCTCACAACTAGTCATCTCTGCTTCTGCTCCCCTTCTTTCCTCTTACCTTGTGTGAAGCAGTGGGGAATCCTCATTCACCCTAGTCTCTGCCCCTTCACTGCCCTCTGTCTCCTATTCATCAACTCTTGGCCTACAGTCCCTTCTTTGCAGTTAGCGCTTTACCATCTAAAATTTCTCACTGTAAAAAAGTAACTTCAACCTGAAACCTATTCTTCTACCCCTTCCTGCAGGATAGCTACCACCTGTTGCCTTTCCTCAGTCTGCCTTATCGGAATAATGGTTTATATTCTTGCCAGTTACCTCCCTCTTGGTCCCCAGCCAGCTTAATTTGGCTTTAGCTTTGTAGTGTCACACTGGAATTGAATCCATCAGAACCCTAATTGGCATCTTCGTTGCTAAGCCATGAGGATGCATATCAGGCCTTCTCCTCCCTGACATTTGCATCCTCATGGCCTCTCTGGCATAGTCTCACTAATAGGTTTCCTCTGCCCTGCAACTACAGGCAGTGCCCTGAAATTGCTCTACAGCTTTTGTACACTTTCTCCAGAATGCTTGGTTTCAGCTAGCCTCTGTCTGCTGGGAAGCCATCTCTGATCTCCTGCCCTCCTCCTTGTTCCCACAGAACAGGTGCTCATCAGGTTGACATTTCATTACTTATCTTCCTCCCTCACAAGACCACAAGAATCCAGGACTTAGGCACCTATTCTCCAGCACCCAGCATAAGCCTGTTGCTTTTCTGTTTATCTAATAAATGATAACTGATGACAGATCCACCCTGTAGGAGTTTGTGGTCATCATGGCCTGTAGTGTCACAAGCCTCAATACAGGGCTGTGTGGTATTAGGGACCCTCTTCTGACTGCAGAAAGGGAGCTGATGGCCCTTCTGACTAGAAGCCTTAGGCTGTTTCATGGTTCCAAACAGTCAGGATTGTAACGATTCTTAGAGAAAAGTGCTTTACTGACTGGATCCCTGTCCAATTCCTTGCCCTTCAGAAAGAAAGAAGTGCAGATTGCCTAACTCAGCAGAGCAAAGATGAAACTTTCCCACCAACACTGGGAGACTAGGAAAAGCAGATTTTCCTGTCTGTCTTGAAGGAATTCCATGGGCCTGGTCATCCTTCCCTGTCTTCAGTACCCAGTATCTGAATGCTGATCATCCTGGTTTACTAATCTTAATACTTTCGATTTCTAGGTTCCATTAAGTGAATTTGACTTTTCCTGGTCTAAAATTTCTGACATTCAGTCCCAGGTATGTGATTTTTAAACATTTGTGAGTAAGCAAGAACCTTAACCTTGTTCCAGCCCTGTCTTTGTAGTGATTTATTGGGTAGTCAGTGTCCTCTGAAGTCTACCGTGTTGTAAAATGAGGATTGGACTGTGTCGTCTATAAGGTTTTTTGCTATTTTAGTTACCAACACTCTGTGCCCTCCTTAAATGTTTTCTATGGAGTGACTTTGCTCTAGGATATTTGAAATCTGGTGTTTTGGAGGGTTTTGTTTGTTTTTATTTATTAAAACCCATGTTTCTTTCCATTTCAGCTTGAGAAATTGATTGAAAAGAACTACTTTCTTCATAAGTCATCCCAGGAAGCATATAAGTCGTACATACGCGCCTATGATTCCCATTCTCTGAAACAGATCTTTAATGTTAATAACTTAAATTTGCCTCAAGTTGCTCTGTCATTTGGTTTCAAGGTGCCTCCCTTTGTTGATCTGAGTATCCTTTTTTTAATGAAGTTATCCTGGAACTGAGGAACAAAAGCTTGACAGAGGGGCATTTTGGGCTTTGCAGTAGATTGGGGTATGTTCTGTCTCAGACTGGAGGCTCCAGTGTTTGTCCTGATCAGTGTCTGTTTGTGCTAGCACAGGGCATAGAGGTTGGGTGGGGCAAGTGGGTATTAAACATTAGGATGGGGTTATAGGGACAAGGCAGGTAATGCCTCGAGCCTTCAAAAGACAAATTTGACGTAGAACAAGAAGAGACAGGCAGTTGTGCATTCCAGGCAGAAACATATAACATAGCAAAACTCCACGGTGGTTGCTGAGGCCACACTGTGCAGGGTACTTAGGTGAATGGGATGTTTTGAAGCTAAAGAGAGGGTGGGACCTTTTAAGGAGTTGTAATCCTCTTAGAGCCCCTGAAGAGTTTTATACAAGAAAGTGGCAACTTCAGCAAAAGAAAATAAAACTTAGGTGTTATGATAAAAGGCAAAAGGAGTACCTCCAGTTGCTTCAGTTGTGATTTATAATTTGTGCCTTTCAGAAGAAGAAACAGCAGCTGAAATGAGGCCTGTGTGTTAGTGCCATGGTAGAACTTCTGAGGGGACTTGAGGACCAAATTTTTTTTTTTTTTTTTTTGAGACAGAGTTTTGTTCTTGTTACCCAGGCTAGAGTACAGTGGCACGATCTCGGCTCACTGCAACCTCTGCCTCCTGGGTTCAAGCAATTCTTCTGTCGCAGCCTCATGAGTAGCTGGGATTACAGACATGTGCTACCACGCCCGACTAATTTTTGTATTTTTAGTAGAGATGGGGTTTCTCCATGTTGGTCAGGCTAGTCTTGAACTGCTCACGTTAGATGACCCGCCCACCTCGACCTCCGAAACTGCTGGGATTACAGGCATGAGCCACCATGCCCGGTCTTAGAGGACCAAATTTTGGGTTACCATCTCCATTTGTAAACATTGAGTAAATGTCAGCTGAAATGGACACATGTCAAGTCCTGTGGAAGGAAGAGCAGCTCCTTCACTCAGGCATTCCTAAATTAATTCCGAAGAGAAATGATAGTCACTTGTTTTGACACAGGAGGTGGTTTTTTTAATGTGCTCCTATAAACTTCCTGATTAAACTCATAAATCCCTGTTCACTGTCATGAATTTTACTGTGTGGAAGAAATAATTAACATGACTATTACACACTGAAGTCTAAAATCATACCTGCTCATTTTAGTCTACAGTCACGTGGCCACTCCTAATTTTATGGCAATTTGTTGCATAGGCCTGTGTTCCCACATTTTCATTTGTTGCATAGGCCTGTGTTCCCACATTTTCATGGGGTTGTGGAGGGACAATAGTGTACATACTGGTTTTTTCCCTGTGTAGTTGTTAGGTTGGAGTTCATTATCTTTTTTACTTGATTTCCTTAATGTTTGCTTCTAGACATCAACAGCAATGAAGGCAAGCAGAAAAAGCGAGGAGGCGGTGGTGGATTTGGCTACCAGAAAACCAAAAAAGTTGAAAAGTCCAAAATCTTTAAACATATTAGCAAGAAATCATCCGACAGCAGGCAGTTCTCTCACTGAAGACATGCGTTTCTTTCATCTTGAATAACTTTGTCCGAAAGTGAATTTTTTTTAACCCCTTGATTTAACAGAATTTTTGTAGCCTTTAGAGTTTGGACTTCCTAACAAGTGTATAAATTAACTTGGGTTGCAAGCACGGAGCACTGTTACTTCTATCAAGTCTCTCTTTTATTTTTGAGATACAAAACAGGCTTTGTTTTCTTGGTTGCCCAAGGGCAGAGCAAGGAATATCTGGTCTGTCTTATGATTATATAATATTTTAATTTTAAATATCCCTCCCTCAAACAGACAGATGTATGTTATTGTTTTAATATAATTCTTTTTGTACCTTTCCTTGTTTGGTGAAGAAGATTTCTGTGACATGGATTGCTGTTCTTACTGCTGTAAAGGTGACCTAGTATACGGGGTAGCTGGTGGTAATGCAGAGAAGAGTCTCAGGTAATTTTTTGTTTTTAGTTATTTCTTGGACCTTGACAGTATCTCATGACTCCTTCTGAAAATGTTGCAGTATAAATGAGCAAAGAGCTTAGAAGCACCTTAGGATTAGGGTGGCATTGCTTTTATAGATTCTTGATTTTAAAGCAATGAGCTTTTCTCGAATGTTTCGGGTTTTTTCGAGCAAAAGCTATGGGTTGTAATTTCAATAAAGTATCACTAGCAGTCGTAACATTCAATGGGAAGGGGGTAGGAAGAGGGTGAAACCGAGATGTTTGAGCCTTGTTTACATCAATAGAGGTGTAATATACTGCATTTCTTCATTTGGTAGCAGCAAAGACTAAAAACACACAAAGAATGGTGATGCTCCTTATTCAGATTTGTTTGATTCAAGGTGGTTTGGATTTTGGTAAGCCTTTTTACTCTATAGAGTATTTAGAACACAAGGGCTACTTCCGTGGACTTACAGCCAAGCTATCAGACAGTGCCCAGCACATGCTAATGTTAGCTTCTTTCTGAGAAAAATTACCTCTTCCAGGCCATGAAACAAAAAATACATTTGCTATGAAGATTGAAAATGAACAAAGTTAGGGGAAAAAAAAAAAAAAAACCAGCAAAGACAGTGATTTAGTCAGATGGGTTTTTTGTTATAGGAGCACTTGATTTCTAGTGTGTTTTGTATAGTGTGTAACTACAAAATAGTATATTATGTAGCAATTCAAAACCAAAGTTGCTAGCATCATTTGGCTGTTGTGCCAGTTAATCATAGGATCCCATTAAATGTAAGAAGTACTAACATCTAGTGTAGAGGAAACTGTTTGGTAAAGAACATTCCAGTAGGAAAAGAAAAGAACAGTCTTCTACTTCTGGGCTGGGCTGTCATCAACCTGGTTGGACCTGTCCTGCGCTTCCAACCTTGGCTGCTGGGCTCCTGGATTGGCTGCTTGAATTCCTATTTCCTGGTGTTTAATAACTCTCTCCAGGATCATGTTTTCCTTTTTTTTTCCCCTCCCCCCAGAAATAATGTTTTTTAAAAGACAAAAACAAAGGGAAGAATATTTAATTACTGAATAGAAGTAAATACTATTGATATTTTGTACATAATCTAATTTTTATATGCATGTTCTTTTTAATTTTTTTATCAAAAATGAAGTCACCTACATACTGCTTATAACCAGCTTGTTTCATAACATGGTATTTTCCTGTGTCATTAAATAATTACCTCATGTTGTATTTTGTTTGTGGCTGCTTTGTTGACCCTTGCATGGTCTGCCAGGATTTAGGTTCAAGATACCTACCTGATTGTGCTGGACTGGCTGTCCCTGTTGCCGTATATCTTGTGCTCCTACTGGTCTTGGGATTGTTACCTCTATTACGAGTCAGTCTCTAGAGGTTTTGTGAGAAAAGCATATAAACAAAGTGAACAGGTTGGCCCTGCTATATAAGAACTTAATTCAGGTCCATTAGCACCCCCATCCATGATCTCCATTCCTATAGTCAGCTATGGTCTGACTAGCTCAGTACAGTACAATAAGCTACTTTGAGAGGCTGCGTTTAGATGACTGTTACTACAATACATTGTAATTGTTTTATGTTAATCTCAATGTGCTAATTTATAAACTCTGTCATGTATAGAAAAGAATTTATAGAGGGTTCAGTTTTATCCACGGTTTCAGACGTGCACTGAGGGTCCAAATGCATCCCTGGAGGATAAGAGGAACTACTGTACTTGCTGGGTGCTTTTTGTGATTGTAGTGGCAGGATGGTTCCAGGGTAGGGACAAGAGACAACCAGACTTGACCACCCTGGCCAGATTCCCATATGAAGGAGCCAGTTACTAGTATCATGTACAGTGAGTGAAAGCAGCACCGTCTGCAAAGTTCATGCACAGTAAGGACTTCATTGGTTTCTGTGCTAAGAGCACAGTTGGTGGCAAATGTGGGCATTTGACAGGTGGGATTAAGTGGCTGCAGCCATGAAGGTTAGAAGGCAGATTGTGAGGTGGGGGGAGCCATGCATATCACTTCATGCAGGTAAGTCTTCAGGTTCTGTGGGCTGCGAGAGATGACATTCCTATGTCTAAATTTTATTTAGCCTCAGCCAGCTTTGTATAATAAAACAAGATACTCAAAACAGTATCCATAAGGGGTTAAAAGTGAAGAGTGCCATAACCAGAATACCTAGATTCAAATTCGAGCTGAGCCACTTACCAACTTCATGAGTGAAGTGAAGGTAATAATACCTCCTTCAGAAGATGGTAAGAATCTGGTGCTCTGTCCATGGTAGCTGCCTCCTACATGAGAAACTTGCTGCCACTCAGCAGCAGGTGCAGAGGCTCATCCCACATCCTGAGCCAGTCTGGGCTTTGGCACACAGGCAGGATTTCTTTTTTTTTTTTTTTTTTGAGACGGAGTTTCTCTCTTGTTACCCAGGTTGGAGTGCAATGGTGCAATCTCGGCTCACCGCAACCTCCGCCTCCTGAGTTCAGGCAATTCTGCCTCAGCCTCCTGAGTAGCTGGGATTACAGGCACGTGCCACCATGCCCAGCTGATTTTTTTGTATTTTTAGTAGAGACAGGGTTTCACCATGTTGACCAGGATGGTCTCGATCTCTCCACCTCATGATCCACCCGCCTCGGCCTCCCAAAGTGCTGGGATTACAGGCTTGAGCCACCACGCCCGGCCAGGATTTCTTAACAGTCTGCATCTCTTGGAATTCTGAAGAGCAGACTTGGGCTTTGGAAAGTGGTCCAGTCCTGCAGCACCTTCCTAAGGTAGCTATCAAGTATATTAATGCTGTTTTCAAAGTTGCTGTACTGAGTGTTGGGTGACAGCAACAACAGTGTAGGTGCCTTTGGATAACCTAATTCATCATTAAAGCCTGTTAGATCTCTGCCCAGATCCCTCTTAGTATGGATACAAATTAGAGAAGGTAGGCATAAACAGTTGGAATATTGTTTTAGAAATGATGTGATAGATGGCAAATATTCTGGCTATTTTTATTAAGCCTGGAGATCCTGTGTCCTCAGGTCCTAGTGGACTATGATTATCTTGCCCAGTCTCTAGGAGATTCTGATTTAGGCTTTTGCCAGGGCAGAGATATGTAGATGATGCTCATGCTTGGCTAGGTTTGGGAGCAACCAGACTAGAAGCCATTCACATACAGACTCAGTAAATGTTTTCTGCTCTCATCTTGCAAAGTGAAGGTGCCCAGCACAGGAAAGGGCGTTAGTATGTTGTAGTCATTCACAGACTAGGGCGACCTCAAAGAGACAGGCCGGGGCTTTTGAGAAACAGCTGTATTTCCTTTGAATGCCTTGGGTGGGAAAAAGTAGGACAGCCTAGCTTCCATGGAACCCATACCTCCTTGCACCAGATAAAGCCTCCAGATCCCTCAACAGTGCTCCATTCCATCCCTGTCCATTGGTGTTGGGCCAGGAATTAAACCAATTTGCCTTGGCCACACATCTTTGAGAAAAAAACCATTCTCCCTCCTGGGACCCAGCATCTGTACCTGTAATAGAGGGAAATGTGGGAAATTCTAACTGAATGATCACTTTCCTGTGGAGGGAAAAATACATTTTTTGGTGTGGTTTTCACAAAAACATTTTATTTTGAGGGGCTATCCAGCATCCAACTCTTATTTTGAGACGGAGTCTCACTCTGGTTGCCCAGGCTAGAGTGCAATGTCACGATCTTAGCTCACTGCAACCTCTACCTCCCTGGTTCAAACGACTCTCCTGCCTCAGCCTCCTGAGTGGCTGGGATTACAGGCGTGTGCCACCACACCTGGCTAATTTTTATGTTTTAGTAGAGACAGGGTTTCACCGTGTTGGCCAGGGTGATCTCAAACTCCTGACCTCAGGTGATCCGCTCGCCTCAGCCTCCCAAAGTGCTGGAATTACAGGCACAAGCCACCGTGCCAGGCCCGCATCCAACTTTTTATTTAGAGACAATACCTTTCAAGTATTGGTGGGTTGCTGAGATCACCTCCCATCAGACAGGCAGAAATGCCTCCAGTGCAGCCAGGGTGGGGCTGTGACCTGGGTTTGACCAATCACATACACTTGCCCAAACTGAGTTAGATACTAATAAAACCGGAACAGAAACAGTAAATGTAGCAGCTTTCTTACCCAGGATCCAGAAGCAGCTGTGTCGGGAACAGGCAGTTCCCGCTGTGGCACCAGGTAAAATAGTGCAACGCTCACACCAGGTTGAGTATGACAGAGTGTGCCATGACTTTGGCCGGGGTCCTACCCGTTAGCACCTGCCCTTGTTCCCGCCTATTTTGCAAGCCTAGTTCTGCCACCATTTCATATCCTTTCCATTAATTCTGTTTCTATTTAAATTACTCAGAGTGGCTTTTTGTTGCTCATAATTAGCCCAAGGATATAATAACCGCTAAGGTTTGGTTTCTCTCTCCCTGTTTGTGGTAAAATGTCTAGGTTGCTTGCCACCATTCCCTGCGTGGAAACTTCTGCTCCTTGGCACAGGGAAAATGGGGGGTTTTGAGCAAGCCCAGGACTTTGAAACATCTAGGGCAACGATGCATGGAAAAAAAAACAACTGGCAAGCTCACCACCTTGGGACAGGTCATGGGGAAGCTGCTCTGGAGGTTTGGGAGGCAGGAAAAAGTGGGACCCTTGACATCACTCAGAGCCTCCAGAGGAGTGTCCGCAGCTGGGAAAGGGGAAGCTGAGGGTTGTCAGACCTTCCAGGGCAGCAGTTTCTGGAGTCAGGCAGAAGGTATGGGAGGCTTGGAGCAAAGGCCATGGCTCCCTTTGCTCCCTGCTCTGTGACTCCGTTTCCTCATCTGTAGAATGGAAGGAATGGATACACGAGGATTAGGTGCAGAGTCAGGCCAAGTCAGATCTTGAAACAAGATCTAGAAACAAAGCT